CGGCCCCGGCCCCCCCGGCAGCAGCAGCCCCCCCCCCTCCCCCCGCGCTCGCCAGCCTGGTCGGCGTGGCTGCTCTCGGCCGGCCTTCGCCCCCGCGAGCAGCCAGGATGATGCAGATCTGCGACTCGTACAGCCAGAAGCACTCCCTCTTCAATGCCATGAACCGCTTCATCGGGGCGGTGAACAACATGGACCAGACGGTCATGGTGCCCAGCCTGCTTCGGGATGTGCCTCTCATGCTGGATGAGCTGGACTCGGGAGGAGGCGGCGGCGGCGGCGTTGGCGGCGTTGGGGTTGTCGGCGTTGGGGAAAGGGAGGCCCAGATGAGCCCCAACGGCGGCGCCTATTGCTCCTGCCGAGACATGTACAGCCACTATTTGCTGCTCAAGTCCATCCGCAACGACATTGAGTGGGGAGTCCTGCAGCAGGCCGGCGAGGAGGCCGGCGGCAGGAAGAAGGACAAGCTGAACGGGGGGCCCGGCGCTGTGGACATTAGCCGAGGGATCCCCGAAGACGACGACGACGAAGAGGAGGAGGAGGAGGATCTGGAGAAGCAGTTCCATTACCACTTGAGCGGACTGCACACGGTGCTCTCCAAACTGACCCGCAAGGCCAACGTGCTCACCAACCGATACAAACAGGAGATCGGAGTCAACAACTGGGGCCACTGAACCGAGGGAGGGGGAAAACCGGGCGGGTGGGCCTGCCTGCCTGCCTGCCTGCCTGCCTGCTGGGGTGACAGAGCTGGGGGAGGAGTGATGGCCATTTGGCAAGGGCTAGGGAAGAGTGCCAGCAAGAATGAAGTAAGCCTGTGTGTGTGTGTGTGAAAAGGAGGTGTGAGTGTGTGTGTGGTTTGGGTGGAGGAGGGATGCCACTGTGCGATTCTGTTAATGAAATTGGATGGAAGATACATATTTCAAGGTCACTGGTGAACAAAAATTTTATGTGTGCCTTTGAGAGGCAATAACAGGAAGACGTGAGAGTGGAAGGGACTGGTCTTTGGCATATCTCACTGGGGGTTTTGCTGATGGGAGCTACAGATTGTCAGGGAGGCAGGGAAATGCAGCTACCAGGAGTGGCAGGCATAGCTTAGGCAGCCAAGGATAAGGTTTCCAGATCCTGAGGACTCAGAATGAAGTACAGTGGTTGAGGCCAGTTATTGAAAGAGTGTGTTTGCAATCATTGGGAAAGTGTGTGCGCTCACATGTGTGGTGGCAGCAATATTAGTAGCGATTGCATCACTTCTTTCCTGTTTTTGCACTACTTTTGTAATGTTAATATATGTATATAAAGCCTAAGAATTATCTTCTTTGCATGCTCTTAGAATTGCCAGCATCTTATTTTTTACCAACGCACAAAGATGTACATTCATCATTACTAGTTAAACTTTTTTGCAGGCAAGGAGAGCATTTATCAAAGACACTTAACCTTCCTATGTTACACAAAACTGGTTGGTATGAACCTGCAAATATACCACTTAAAAATATTTATAATATGTTGCAGAGGATGAAACCAGTTAATTACCATATTTCTATACTCCAGTGGAAAGATAAAGGGGCCTCACTGTTGTACATGCATTGAAGACTATTTAAAACTTTTTTTATTCAGATGTAGAATATATTCTAAAATAAACACATAAACATATTGACTGAATTGATGTAACTGTTTTTATACTGTGCCTCTATTTCAATTAAATGCTAACATTTATGACATACAGACTGTAGCTATGAAGTAATATTTCAGCCCCCTCCCCCAAACAGGGTTGAGCAGTCCATCAAAGCAGCAATGTTTGCAAGTGGAGGAATAATTGTTCTGTGTTCTGCACTCTCCTCATAATTTCTTTGGCCCATATGAGCACTCCACTATACCTGTATTTATTCTATCTAATTAATACTTTCCCATCTTGCTTTTCTTCCCTTCTGGAATTCAAAATGATGTGCCTGGTGTTCCCAGGGCATTGTCTGGCCATTGTTCACATCCAGAGTTGCTTTTGTTTCCGCAAGGTATCTGGAGGCCACCCCTCAGCTGTGTTAAGCTCAGTTGCCCTTGGTGGGTGTTGTATCCCTGGTGGAGTACACTGAACCCACTGAGTATAATCCAGCCATCTTGTTCCCAGTTATAGTTTTTCATCAGATAAAGCGAGAGGTAAATTGTCCTTACAGGGAAACTTTTCTATTCCTTTTAAGAGACTGTCTTTGTAAATAGTTTATATGTAATGAAAAAGAATGAAAATTCTCTTTCATGATACCTTTGGAAGTTAACAATTAGACTGAATGCAGAATGTTTACAGAGTTTATTGACATACAGGTCAATCTCTTAAACCGAGTTATTTAAGTAGGTGCCTTACAGCTAATCAGATTTAGTAACCAAAACTGTACAAGCTGTGTGCTTTGTAGAATGACTGTTTTCATGCAGATGTAACTGGTCACAGAGTCAATTCCATTCTGTGGAGGATTCACTAATTTAAATGAGAATATGTTATCTTGAATATTGTACTTGAAATACTGTTGAAAGATAAATTATATGAACAAGGGTATAATGTTTTTTTATTGTCTCAGAACACATACATTCCTGTATTGCTGTGTTAATATTTATTCATCCTAATCCACAATCCTCTTAAACCTTCTTTTCACAATAGAGTTGTTCTTTGGTTCTTTTCAAGGATATCACTTAAAGCTTCAGATCTGAACTTTTAAAACAGAAAGTGCTCCAATAAGGATGTAAAGCATTTTAAGATGCAAACATATGACATAGATTCAGGTTTAAACATTCTTCAAGGGTCTTTCATGTCTTATTTGATAGTATCATACACATGCTTTTGAATTTCTGGTTTTTGTGGGTGGTATGTTAGTTGGAGAAAGTGGGAAAATATGAAGGACATAATTCATCCAGTGCTAAGCACTTTTAAATGTGGGAAGGGTATGTTTATGGTTTATTTTTGTTTTTTATAATGTGTGTGTGAGTGTTTTAATAAAAAGACTTAAAGTGAAATCTCTTAAGGCAAACATTGTTCACCTAGGATCTCTTAAAATAAAATTGTAAGCATGTTGAGTTAAGGGTACTTTTTCATGGAACAGCTCCTAATAATTATTTACTAGGTGCTGTTCAGCGTAGAAAAGAACACTAAGATGGGGTTACTCTGAATTTTTTATTTCATTAGCTAGCCTGTTCACTAAATAGTGAATTGACTTTCAAACCCATTGCCTTGACAGTCAAAAGACAAACTATCAACTGTAAATTCAGCAGCAGCTTCCTAAAGATGCTATTAGCAGAGTCACCTCTGAAACACATGTTCAAATATAAAATGATATTTTTAAAATTCATGATTTAGGAATACTTAAACCAAGGAGGCCAACAGTATCAAAAGTTATCTACTTGAGTGAGGAGACCCTGATAACTGACTGAATGATCAATTAAAACTAGTGTGCCCATTTTTCTGTGAGTAAGGTCTGTGAATCTAATAGCTGGATGAATATTGAGTAGACAGGATTGTATAGATATGATTGTACCATTAGTCTATAAAAATTATGCTTCATTAGGAAATATCCTCAGCATTCTTACCTGTATTTAAAAATGTATGTCCACTGCTAGACAAGAAGTGAGATGGGTAGGCTTTGCGTGTTTAGATTTTAATAGTGTTTATAGAGTTAATTTTAATGTCACCCTTTTTACAATTCAGCCCTGTCACAGCAACACAATCCTGTTTTCTAATAGAATATTCTTCATGCCTGGACCAAACATTTTCTCAGGTTGCTATTCAGGCTGAGGTTGCAGCATCTGGTGTCTTAAGGCTTTTGCCAGGGATACAACACATGCCCTGGACACTCCTGCAACTAACACCATTTAAAGTTTCTTACAGTGTCACCTAGCATCTTGTATTACTTAAAAATACCCAGTTAATGTTTCCCATAATGCCCTTGAAACAGTGCTTTGTTGAATGTTCTAGGGCGTTGGGAAGTTTGAGATGGCGTATCTAGCATTGCTGCTGGGTAAGATGTGGGGAGAGGGAAGTATCAACATAGGGGCAAAATGTGCTGGTCCTCCTCGACATCTCGGCGGCCTTTGATACCGTCGACCACGGTATCCTCCTGGGGAGGCTCTCTGAGTTGGGAATTGGTGGCTCGGCACTCGCCTGGCTCCGTTCCTTCTTGGGGGACCGCCCCCAGAGAGTACAGCTTGGGGAGAGTGTCTCGGCCCCGTGGAGCCTCAATTGTGGGGTCCCACAGGGGTCGATCATCTCCCCAATGCTGTTCAACATCTATATGAGGCCGCTGGCTGGGGTCATCAGAGGATGTGGGGCTTCGTGTCATCAATATGCCAATGACACCCAGCTCTACATTTCCTTTTCACCAACTGCAGGTGATGCTGTCCTGTCCCTTCAGTGCTGCCTGGAGGTCATACTGCAATGGATGCAGGAGAACGGGCTGAGGCTGAACCCGGACAAGACGGAAGTTCTGAGGGTGGGTGCCCCCGTGGTAGGTGGCTTGGGTGACTCTCGTGTTTGGGGGGGGTCACCTTGGCTGCGAAGAGTGGGGTCCGCAGCCTGGGCATACATTTGGACCCGACGCTCACCATGGAAACGCAGGTGGCGTCGGTAGTCCGCACCGCCTTTTTCCATCTTTGGCAGATCGCCCGACTGCGACCCTATCTCGACATGGGGTTGCTCACCACCTTGGTGCATGTGCTCATAATCTAAAGATTAGACCACTGTAACAAGCTCTACGTGGGGCTGCCTTTGAGGCTGATGCGGAAACTTCAGGTGGTGCAGAATGCGGCGGCCAGACTCCTCACTAGAGTGAGAAAATACCAACACATTTCTCCAACTCTGGCCGCACTGCATTGGCTGCCCATTTATTTCCGCATCAACTTCAAAGTTTTAATGCTTATAAGGCCCTAAGCGGTTTAGGACCTCGATATTTGGTGGAACGCCTGCTTCCACCAAGATCTACCCGGATCACCCGCGCAAGTCAGGAGGTGAGGCTGAGGAGCCTGACGCTGAGGGAGGCTCGGAAGGAGAAGACACGAAACCAGGCCTTCTTGGTGGTGGCTCCAATCCTCTGGAACAATCTCCCTCTGGAGATTCGCGCAGCCCCTATGCTGGGCATCTTTAAAACCCAATTAAAAACATGGTTGTTCATTCAGTCCTTCCCTCCAGCCAATTCTTGATTTTTTCCTCTTTATTTTTCCCTATTCTTTATTTTATTGTAGTTGTTGTATTATTATGTATTTGTTTGTGTTTTTATTGTCTGATTTTATATTGGAAGCCACCTAGAGTGGTCCAGTGGTCTAGATAGGCGGGGTATAAATCAAATCAAATCAATCAATCAATCAATAGGAGAAGACCTCGGAGGCAATGTTGAGAAGTCCCCTCAAACCTGAAGTTGGAGGACTTAATGTGAATTCTTATTGTGGTACAATATAAGAACACAGGGAACTTTGTTACAATAGGCTGATCCATTTGTTCATGTAGTCCTGTGTTTTCTGTGCTGAGTGCCTATGACTGCATCTTTTAACAGCATGTGGGATATGTCAGGCTTAAAACCCAAGTAGCCTCCTGCATGTCACATGCTCTGTCATTAAGCCGCAAGTGTATGGCTGGCTGGCTGTTTGTACAAGCAAACATTTTTAATTAATAGTTTTCCTCAGCAAGTCCACTAGAAAATATAACAGTGTAGCTGTTTCATGAATGCACCATTATTAAAATAGACATTTTCACTAGGGGAAAAAACACCCCAGCATTCTTATGCCTACTAAATCTTTTATGTCTAATTCTGGATGTTAGAAGTAAATTAGCTGCCCCTAATATATTTTTTTGTTCCACCTCACATAAGAATTTATGATGATGAAAACGGAATTTTGGGTGGTTCTTTGTGGTCTCTGAATCATAAGTATGGGTTTTCAGTGTGGAAACCCCAGAACATTCTAGAGCTTAAAATACAGAGAATTTATGATGGTGATAACAGAATGTTAGGATCTTTTATTTAATTCTTCTTCCCTGTCTGCTGTTCAGAGATTAGACACTCAGAATTCTGTCCTCATCAAATCAGCTACTATTTTCTGCCCTTGTAGCTTGTTTTTGAACTATGCATTAACTTTGCCTGGTAGTAAAGCTGTGCCTAAAATCTAGCCCAGCAGCGTATTTGCCCAGGAATAATTACAGTATTTATCAATAGCTACAACCACCATAGTCTGAAAGACATGTAAACTTTGGGGGAGAAATGTGTGGCTTATATAAGTATGGTGTCTCTTGAAAAAGAAAATGCATAACCACATGATCTAGAGTGACCCTTCCAAGGAGAATATTGGGAGCAAGTACTAACCCTTTCAGGCAAAACATCTGATTGAAGAAGAGGTTACCGCTGCATGTTGTTGTTGTTTTGTCATGTCTGACTCTTCGTGACCCCATGGACCAGAGCACGCCAGGCCCTCCTGTCCTCCACTGCCTCCTGGAGTTTGG